TTTGGCAACCACCTCTCGGCGCGCGTCGTCCTATCCCTCCTTTCCTCCCCGTCGATTTCCCATGTAGCGCCTCTGCCTAGCCCTTGGGGATCGAGGCCTGCGTCAGCAATGTGATGATTCGGTTTTTCTGGGGAGTGCTGGTGATTCAATTTTTCAGGACACTGATAATGTTCGGTGCTGATTTCTGGGGCATTTTGTGGCTGTGTGCTGCTGATCTAGCATGGAGGAACGAATGCATCCCTTTGGTACCTTGGCAGTACACGATCTATCTGCTTTTCACCAACAGCGGCATGTACTGTTTTTAGCCCCTGTTCTCTAGTCTGTACCCATTCAGTTCAGTGATGTGAGCTAGTAGTTAGTTTGGTACTACTCCCTCCGTCAGGAAATACTTGTCATCAAAATGAATAAAAGGGGATGTATCTAGATGTATTTTAGTTCTAGATACATCTCTTTTCATCCATTTTGGTGACAAGTATTTTCGGACGGAGGGAGTACTAAATTATTCAGTTAAGCTTTTTGTAGTGTTAGTTTGGTAGCTGGTAATCATTTTCTGGTATTCAGTTTTTGTTTTGTCTACTTCCAGGTTACTTAATTATATTTTGTTTTCCCCAGCTTGAACTCTGCATTTTGTCATTATCGAATCATAGCCCGCATTTTTGCAACGTGTGGCATAAATGCTGCCCTACTTTTTTCTATTCTTTCGCACACGTGTTAGTGCATGCATGTGTTCTCCTACACAAACTAGATTGCGCGGGTGTTTTAGGAATTCGTGTTTCGTTCATTTGTTCATTGAGTGCTTCTCTAAGTTCCATTGGTGTGGTCAGTCTGTAAATACCCGCGTGTCCTTTTGCATTTGTACGTAACTATTTTTCATATATATTTTTTTCCTGCAACCAAGCCACCTGCTGATCTTTGAGATTCATCTGCTACAAATATATAGTTTACTTTTGAGTTCATTTTTAGTTACTTCTTACTGGTATGATTCATGAATGGTTGCTAATGGTGACATGGTGATTTTATATGTGTTTTTGTTAGTTTTTTTTCCGAGCAGACTTTTGTAACTGATTTTTACTCGAGTATCATGTAACTTCACTGGACTTGTTTTTTAAATGGGTTGCTTTTCGGCCTAACTTTGCATGCACACTTTTGTAAGATAAGTCGTGATGCATGATGTTCTGTTTTGGATTCAGCTTACTTAATAAAGTGTACTCACTGTTTTGCCTGTCTCCAAAAGAAAGATTCTTCTTCTCTAGTGTCATGGTCTGTGAGATAAATAATAGTTTTTCAGTGTCACTTTCTAAAGTCTTTTTGATTTGTCAATAGTCTTTTTGCATAGCAAATCATTGGAGCCTTGTGTTTCTTCTTCAGTAATCATTCATCAGTGTTCAGTCATTTTCCCTATGTCTCCATTGCGTCTGCCTTGATACAAATGAGATGAGGTTTGATCTAGGTGTTGTAGGGTCACTGTCATGTGGATCCGGCTCCACATGTCATCCGCACTAGCCACGCGGTCGTATCCGATCGTTGGGCCGCGGGTCGCCCATGGATTTGGTGAGATCCCATGGGCTTCTCGTACTGGTTCGCTGCTGTTTGGCTATGGGCTTTACACGAGCGCGCGGGGTGCCGGCCTTTCATTTCCCTTGGCTGCTGCGTCTGATTACACTCTGATTCCCCTGCCGCCATTGACCGGCCAGGTCTGCACTCTGCAGGCAGCAGCACCGCGCGTGGACGGCACCTCAACCACCTTGCGGATACGAGGTACGCAAGCGCTTCCCTGATACTCCCCATGTCGTATTCCCCTTCTGCCGCCGGCCTCGGCTCCGTGACGTCCCCCGGCCGGCGGCGAAAGTCCTTGGCCGACGCATGCGTGATACGTGGATCGTTCACTAGTTAATCCATGGCTAATGACGTTTCCGCCTCGTACTAAGAGTGGGTCTGCGGTTGGTGAGCCTAGTGTTCTTACGGATCAGTTTATTTTGCTACCTCTACTCCACTGTGGTGATCTTGAGATACGGAAAGGATCACTTATAGAAAAATAATAGTGACTCGTTCGGATATGCATGATGAAAGATATCCTTTCTGTGCCTGCAACCTACCTACCCCAAGGCGGCTAAGGTTCCAGCAATTAATAATTTATTTACTGCTCTATTTGATTACAGGGTTATGGTCATCATGACTACTATATCTCTGCCCGTCCTTGCTGCCTGCATCTACAATCTACACTCTTTGTCTTCAGTCTGACATTCACTCTGAGCGAGCGAGCGGGCGGAGGAATGGAGGAAGCCATGGCGATTCTGCGCGACGCTTCGCCGTGGAGCCTGCTCGCCGGCGCCGCGGCCATGGCGGCTCTGTGGTGGGCGGTCAAGATGCTCGAGTGGGTCTGGTGGGGCCCGAGGCGCATCGAACGGGCCCTGAGGGCGCAGGGCCTCGGGGGCACCCACTACCGGTTCCTGAGAGGCGACATCAGGGAGGAGCAGCGGCTCATGAGGGCGGCCCTCTCCAAGCCCGTGCCAATGGACCGGCCGCACGACATAGTCCCGCGCGTCTCCCCTCTCCTCCACCGCGTCACTGCGGAGCACGGTATGTACCACCGCCAACCGCCGCCCGCTTTCTTCATCAGATCCCAACTAGAAGAACTACTGTATCTTTCCTAGTTGCGTGCTCCTCCTGATTTTTTTGATATGCCATTAGGTTATTACACTCTTTGTTTCAGTGTCGTGTTCGGCTATTCTTATCATCTGTTGCTGAAAACTCAGGGAAGGTCTCATTCACATGGTTTGGGCCGTACCCAAGAATCACAATCAGTGATCCTGAGCTGGTTCGGCAAGTTCTCGCAAATAAATTCGGCCACTTCGATAAAACGAAGCTAGCCCGCCTTGCAAGGGTGTTTATTGGCGGACTCGCGGTCCTTGACGGTGAAGAATGGGCCAAACATAGAAGGATTATGAATCCAGCCTTTCATGCAGAAAAGCTAAAGGTAACAGTATTTATTTATTTTGCTTACTGTAAAAAAAATACTGTATTTCTTTTACTAGAAAAGTATTACTAGTATTTGCTAAAAGAACTCGTGTTTACACAGTGTGATTCCTATCCACTAAATATATCTAAATCAGACTCCAGATCACAATATCTAATCTAGAATTGGATCGACATGAATTCGGTGTCAAATCAGGTGGATATAATATAATTTGTCAAGTTGCTCCCTATAAGGCTATAATCGGTAATTTCGTATCCAATGGAACTGTAAATTTGCAAGAAGCTACCACAGCTGGCTCTGTATGTAACTGTACTTCTATCAAAAAGTCCTTTGGAGAAGATACAAAGTTATTATAATAACTAATTGCTGTAAATTGTGATAGTAAAGTTATAAATAGTATGAGTTCTATCAACTGGTTGGAATTTCCTTTGTGATGGATATGTCAGACAACCGAGGCAAAATACTAGTACGTTTATTCAATACATCACATGATCCTAGGAAATTTAACTAACAGGGCACAATTAGCGGCAACCTATTACTATATGATCAAACAAGGAAGATAAAAAGACCAAACCATTTCTCCCTGACCATTTACTTGGAATTGATTACAGCGGATGTTGCCGGCATTCTCTGCATCTTGCAGTGAACTAATTGACAGATGGGATAATTCAGTCACTGTTTCTGTTGGAGCAATAGAGCTTGATGTTTGGTCGGAGTTCCAAAATTTATCAGGGGATGTCATTTCAAGAGCTGCATTCGGTGTCACCAACGAAGAAGGCAGGCGGATTTTCCAACTTCAAGCCGAGCAAGCAGAGCGCCTTGTCCAATCTTTCCGGACTAATTACATCCCGGGCTTCTCGTACGATCCTCATTTTCCTTATTATTTGGTTCCCAACAAACAAATATCAATTTATGTGGATTCATGTGTTCCAGAATGTTTTCTCAATGAAATTTCTGTATCCATTTCTGAAACTAATCAACGGATATTTTCACTCTTCAGTCTGTTGCCGACAGAAAACAACAGAAAGATGAAGGCTATAAATACAGAGGTCAAAGGGATTCTAAGGGGGATAATAGAGAAGAGGCAGAAGTACATGAAGAATGGAGGAACTGACAAGGACGATCTGCTGGGCCTGCTACTAGAGTCAAACATGGATTACAAGGATGCCAATGGCAAAACAAGCAAGGGGATGACCGTGGAAGATGTAATTGACGAATGCAAGTTGTTCTACTTCGCGGGAATGGAGACTACAGCCGTACTGCTCACATGGACAGTGGTGCTACTAAGCATGCATCCGGAGTGGCAGGATCGTGCCAGGGAGGAGGTTCTGCAAGTATTTGGGAAGAACAAACCAGATTTAAATGGCCTTAGCCGCCTAAAAGTTGTGAGTACTTGCTAGCTTGCCTGTGACATGAGTTAGGCACTTAGATAATTGCAAGGTTCTTTGCTTTTGATTCTGTCATTCTTCTGCTAATTGTGTATGACAGGTTATGATGGTGTTCAACGAGGTCCTGCGTCTGTACCCACCGGTGATGCTCATTAACCGCCGGACATACAAGAAAATAGAGCTCGGAGGCGTCACATACCCGCCGAACGTGATGCTCGCGCTGCAACTCATGTTCGTCCACCGTGACCCTGCCATCTGGGGGGATGACGCCGGCGAGTTCAACCCGGGGAGGTTTGCCGAGGGCATCTCCAAGGCAAGCAGGGACCCGGGGGCCTTCTTCGCCTTCAGCTCAGGGCCGAGGAACTGCATTGGTCAGAACTTCGCGCTGCTTGAGGCCAAGGTGGCCATCAGCATGATCCTGCAGCGGTTCTCTTTTGAGCTCTCGCCGGCGTACGTGCATGCGCCCTATGCCGTCCTTACACTGCACCCGCAGCACGGTGTTCCGGTCAGGCTGCACCGGCTCTGAATCGGTGATCAAAATGTATCTAGACCCGTCATTTTGATGTCAAAGAAAGTACTCCTCTGTCAAGAAATATAAGAGCGTTTAGATCACTAATAAAGTACTAGTGATCTAAACGCTCTTATATTTCTTTACGGAGGGAGCACTACATTGTCTGCACGCAGCTGTCAGGATAGTGTTTTCAGACAGTCCTTTGTTCCCCTGGTTTTTAGGGCATCTAGTTGAATCCTGAATCACAGCACCAATGCGTATATACTTTACTTCAGTTCAAAGTATAAAACTTGTAGCTGGGTACAACTTGAAAAATTATTGCATGCTCGATGCTCCTCACTGCCCACAGAATGTGTAGCATCGCCAGAGCTTCTTTGGCTTAATTTGAGCATAGTGTTTTTGTGCTGAAGAATGTTTGCTAGAGCCATCTTAGCTTCAAGCAATGCAAAGTTCAGACCTATGCATGTGCGAGGACCCATTCCAGATGGAAAGAAAACGGCCTCCTCCTTTGATGCGTTGGAGATGCCCTTAGAAAACATTTCCGGGTTGAATTCACTCGCAAAATTCCACCAAATACTGGGATCATGGTGAATGAAGATCGTGGGCAATAGAAGGTGCGCTCCTGCCGGATAAGTGATGCCCCCAAGCTTTACTTCCTTGTATGTTCTCCTGGTAAGTTTTTTTTTGAATGATTTGAAGATGGCTCACCACGCTTGGCACGTACTCCCTCCGTCCGGAAATACTTGTCATCAAAATAAATAAAAGGGGATATATCTAGATGTATTTTAGTTCTACATACATCTTTTTTTGTCCATTTTGATGACAAGTATTTTCGGACGGAGGGAGTATGTTGACAGGTTGATACAACCTAAGAACCTCATATAAAATCATTGTTACCTGCAAAACAGGTACAAAAACCTCAACATTAGCACAACACTCATTAAAGATGCCACATCAAGTTTCATCTTCTTCACCAACCCAATTCACTCTTTACATAATGATCAACACATTTCATGCATAAAAATGTGTACATGGTCTCAATAGAGGAAAGGAAGTGCAGTCCAGTGCATCAATTAAGTGTGACTTCTGAAACCGATGTAAACATGCCCCAAGATGCAAATAATATGATTTCTGCAACATACAAAAAAGTTGATCTCAGGTTATTAAATGTTACTATCATATACTCCCTTCATAGAAGTCAAACATATGTATGTTTGACCAGGATTATAGAATAGAATAAAATATCATCTGGAATACAAAATAAATAATATTTGAAAATACTTTTGACTCTTTTAAATATCAACATCCACAATTTTTTTGTAATTCAAAAAGATGTTTCATACTATAAAAAAATGTATGTTACATTTAAAAAATGTTCACGTGTTTCAAAATATGTTTATGAGATTATAAAATTTATACAATGTAAAAAATGTTCTCATAGTTATATTTCTAAATGTTTCATACTATTCAAACCATGTTTCCATTAACATTTTTAAAATGTTTAACACGTATGCAAAATATATAATCAGAATATGTATTTGAAAAATATGCAATCATGTATTTAAAAATATTAAATCTATATAAAAATGTTATAGATGTATATGAAAATGTACAACGTGTATGTAAAAAATAGACATGTGTTAAAAATGAAAATCAAAGAAAGAAAAAAAAACAAAGAAACCAATTAAAAAAGGAAAAATCAAACAGAACCGAAGCAAAACAGTGAAGTCCCGATTAAAACTACAAAAATAACTCGCACATAGTTACAGTATTGCGCCGATCCAGCACCACCCTGCTGTACTACAAACCTCGTACCAATCGGGGTATACCATTTGGGATATAGGGGCGCCATACCCTATTTGGCGCTTAAAGCGCCCCTTAAAGGCAAAGCCGTACGCAGGTATAGCTTTCGTGGTGGGCCAGCCCAAATGGCGTTGTCTTTTTTGTACCGGTTTTGAGAACATTCTAGAAGGTTCAGTCAGTTTTTTGGGCGGTTTTTCTTTTGTTTTTTCCAGCACAGGATTTTGATTGGTTTCTTCTTTTCCTTTTCTTTTATGTTTTCTTGATTTCTTTTTCTTTCAAATTTTATGAAATTCAGTTTCATGGTTTTTTATTTCATGAATTTTTCCCAAATTTGCAGACTTCTACAAATTCAATTTTTTAGAAAATAGATAACCATTTTAAAATTAGCGCACATTTTTTCCAAATCCGTGAACTTTTTTCAACTTCATGAACATTTGTTTTCAAATTCATGATTTTGTTAAAACAAATCGAACTCATGAACATTTTTCAAATCCATGATATTTTATTATATTCGTGATTTTTTTTCAAATTTGTGAAACTTTTTCAAATTCATGACTTTTTTGAAGTGTGAATGGTCAACAGTTAGTGTCAATGGTCAATGGTGGGCGATCAAAGGTCAAAGGTCAATTGTTAGTAGCGAAATAGCTAGTGGTCAAATGTTTTTTTTTCATGAGAGGCACGGTTTTGCTTCTGCGAGAGGCAGGGTCGTGCTAACGGAAAAACACGTTTTCTTTTTTTGTTCTTCAATGAGAGGCATGGTTTTGCTTCCGCAAGAGTCGTGGTTGTGCTTTCGCGAGAGGCACGGTTTTGCTTTTGCGAGAGGCACGGCTGTGCCTCTAAAAAAGAAAATAAACACATTTTTTGTTTTTATTCTTCCGCGAGAGTCACGGTTTTGCTTCCGTGAGAGGCACGGTTGTGCCTTAGCAAGAGTCATGGTCGTGCCTCTCGGAAACAGAAAAAAAACGTGTTTTCTGTTTTCTTCTTCTTTCGCGAGAGTCACGGTTTTGCTTTCGCGAGAGGCATGGTTGTGCTTTCGCGAGAGTCACGACCGTGCTCAGAAACAAAAAAAACACGTTTTCTGTTTATTTTCTTTCACGAGAGGCACGGTTGTGCTTTCACGAGAGTCACGGTCGTGCCTCCTCGGAAACGAAAAAAAATGAGTTTTCTCTTTTTTTTTTCTTCCGCGAGAGTCACGGTTTTGCTTCCGTGAGAGGCACAGTTGTGATTTCGTGAGAGGCACGGGCGTTCGGAAAAAGAAAAAACCCATGCTCTCGGTTCGGTTTTTTCGTCCCGTTTTTTTTCTAAAAAAGTTCGTCAAAACCTATCGACATGGGATCTAGTTTTGAAGATCTTGATGGGAGAAATCAAATGATGAAAGCAGTTCGAGATTTGGACGCACGGTTTAAGAGATAAAACATTTTGAATAAACGAAAAGAGAAAACTCCCAGGTTGCGACAAGTGACGCAAATACAGCGCGCCACTTGTCGCAATCTAGGAAGGTTGGAGTGATCTTTGCAACGAGTATTTCTCAACTAGTGATTTCGAGCAACGACTTGGCATAACACATAGTGTTTTTTCCCCGCACGACATATCCGGTTCCGTCCCGACGACGCCCAAAGCCACGAACCACGTGCAGCGCGTGCAATATCTACCGGCTATCTCAGACTGTCGTATCGTGTTGGTGATTTTTACTATTTTGTTAAAGGAAAAGTGCTCGCAGCCCCGGCTCCATTTGTATAGAACAAACGAAACCACACAGATCGACCATCATGTTTTACAAGCACCCGGGGGATACACCGCACAAATGCTACCCCAGCAAAGAAAACAGTCCGAGCCTAAAAAGGCATTACGACAACGAACTACTTAAAGAGAAATAAACTAGCCCCGAAGATACTTCAGCCGGCAGAGAAAGAGATCAAAGCCGAGACGAAGAATGCATCATGTAGAGCTCAAAGGGCCACCCAGATCCTCAATCAGTGGCACGGTTGTGCAGCACCTCCGAGCACTTCAGAAGGCCTAGCCAGGGTCCGGCCACGG